TCAAGTCTGATTTAAAGCACATTTCACATTCCTTACAGTGAAGCAAACAGAGGTCCAAGAGCATTTTGCTAAAATGGCCATTGTTTTAAATCAGAAAAGTCTCTTTCATCCACTGAGTTAGAAGGAAGGGAATAAAATCAAGAGAAGTGAGGAACCCACAGCAGCTTTTCAGAGAAATACAGAACAAGATCTTACTTGTTTCCGGTGATAGTCCTGCCTTAGCACCTGCTCCAGCTCTCGAATGCTCTCTGTGAGCTGCTTGATCTCTGCCTCATGTTCAAATGGGACCGTGCTGAAGGAAAAATAAAGATATTGGGCAGTTTCAGCATCATTATAGTCCAGTCAGAGTACAGCAGATAAAATAATCTCTGTCTCCAGAGATTACAGCCAGTAACTTTAATAATCTGAGCAAGACAGTCTCAAATTAATATATCTTATTTTCCTTTGCTTGTAAGATTTTGCAGTTGAAGCATAATCTAAAGAGCTATTTTGGCCAAAAGTGGCACAAACATAGAGGACTAAGTTTAAAGATCATGTTAAGCAAAGCATGAAAGTACAACACTCCTACCAATTTTGGTGGCGACTTTCATTTATGAAATTTGCATATCACCTGTCATACAAATAACTTATATTAAAGTAGACTTATCCAAGCTAGAGAACCCCCTATGTAGCACACACCAAGAGCAGCTGCCAGAGGAAAAAAAAACCACTTTGTTTTGAAAGCTCTCTTGGAAACCAGCCATTTCTTCATCCTATTATCCACAAGCAAAAACAAAACTTAATGGTGCAAAGACACAGGCAGTAGGGCTAAATGGCCTGAAACAGAGATTGTGGCAAACATGTCAAATAACTAAGGAAGACAACTTTACTCATCTATTAAGTTAAAGATGGGCTTCCTCCAGCTGTTGAAGGGATAAAGACACATCACTAGGAACAAAAAGTTTCAACCTAGTTCTCCACATACAAATACAGGATTCCCACCACACAACCATACACTGTAAAAGTATTTTTTTTTCTCTGCCAGCAGAGAATAACCACCCCCAGCTATTGAACCAAGTCATTACAACCCAAGAATGGGGCTGTGCACTCAGACTTGTTGAGCCTCACACAGCTGGCACACTGATCCAGCCTGAACAGGAAAGGCAAGCAGTGCATCTCACAGTGCTTTCTCCTCACACTCACTTCAGTTTCTCCAGCTTCAGCACTGCCTCCCGATTCGCAGCCTCCAGGTGTTGGCTTTTCTCCATAGCTGATTTCTGCAAGTTAAATATTTAATTTTAGAGAAGTGTGTTTTTTCTCTGGGTTTCTATTAGAGCCTTGCTCAATGTTGTTTCACACGAAATGCACCATCTCTGAGCTACTGAGATGTTCAGAACAGAAGCCACCTACAACTGTTGCACCCAGTTTTTCTCCCAAAAATTATATAAACCTGAAGTTAAGCCACAACCTTCATGCTCACAGCTCTGGGTTAATATCAATTATACTTTTGTAGGTATCTGGAATAAAACAGCAGCCAGTCTTACATAGCTCAGTTGTAGCTCCAAGTAGACCTCGTGCCGGAATTCGCTGAAGTTCACAAAGTTGAGGATGCCACTCAGGAAGCGAACAGTCCTCTTTGTCTCTGAAACAGGAATTGCAAGAGCTCACTGAGCTGGTTTCCAAAAGCATTGCAATTGCTTCAAAAAAGTGTAAAAGTGTAATTCAGAGGAGACAGAAATTACAAAACACAATCCAAATTAGTTCTTCCCCCACTCAGCTTGCAAAGGTTTCAGACAACACTAAAACTAGCACCAAGCTGGTTACAAACTCTGTGTAATTTAACAAATGAATAATGGCACCTGGGAGAAAAGGCTGTTAACACACAGCCTCCCATTACAACATATGCCAGGCAGAAAGAGTGTCAATCTTGAACTACAGCTCTGAAGAGAGCACCTCTATATAGCCATCAACTAAACTGAAGGCAGCAATTTAAACTGAAGGGACTTTTTGGCTTTATTCCAAGCAAACTTGCTGAAAGATGATTACAAAAGCTTTGAATGTCTTAGACAAGATAAATCCAGAAGTGAAAGATTTCTTTGGAGCAGCCTTTTCCAAGTTGTCTGTGTTGTGGCAGAATCACCACAATTGGGTACAGAAGTGGAGGACAGGCATCAGCATAAGAAATCCTAAAGCATTCCAGAGCTGTCAGGGTAATTTTCATCGCCATTTCATCTATTATTACACTGTTATGTCACAACCCATCTCCAGTCCTGCAGCTGAACAGATTCATAGCATTCAGAACCGGCCTCAGTCCTGACCTGCACCAGCCCACATAAGGAATAAGAACTGCTCACTAGAATCAGCTTAAGGGTCAGAAGAGCAGCAGGAAGTCAAGGATGCTGCTGCACACTAGATGCCCATCTGGCTATGCACAAGGAGAAATAGCACCTGGAATATCAAGCAACACCCAGCACCCCAGGAAACACAAGGATTACTTGCTTACTTGGGTTTAAAACATCAGCGAATTGGAAGTCACTGATCCGGCACATCGGCAGCAAGCGCTCCCTGCAAGGAAAACAGAACAGCTGCAGTGACCATGGCTCAGGTTTTGTGACCATGACTCAGTTCTTGTCCTGCACCCATCTGCTAAAAAACAGATCTTGTCCTCTCATCCCAGAGCATTTGCCCAGCAAAGCACAATACAAGAATCTTCTACTTACATGTGAATATACAAATTACAGACAGGTAGAAAGCCTTCATGGATCTGTGGGTACATTATCTCAACGCTGAGTGGCATCTAAAGGGTCAAAAGAGAGTTGGTGCATAAGTAGAGAACACTCCAAACAAAAATTATGCAGCATTATCCACAGCATAAAATAATTCCAATAGATTATAAACACTGAGGATGATCTTCCCATCCATAGGGAACATTTATTAAAGGCTGAAAAATGTCATGGAGTTAATCAGCACATATTTTAAGGGTCAACTGTGGCTGGAAAAGACACGAAAATAACTAAAGCAGCAACATTACAAACTCTGGAACTCAATCTAAACTCAGTTTTAATTTGTTCATAACTTGTGCAGCACAACAGTCTCTGCATTATACAGCTACCAGCAAGAAGCTCCTTTTTTAAGCACCCCAAAATTGACACAGTCAACTGCTTCATGAAGAAGTCAGGAGGAGATTGCAGTGGTACATTGTCCCCTTTCTCTGACATTTTAAACCTCACAGCACAGCATGGCAGCTGATATCACTGCCTGGGGAAGAACAGGGTTACCTTGTGCACATAATACTTCCAATAAACACTTTCAGTTTATCCAGAAATGCCATGAGACAAAACCATTTACTCCCACGTTCAAAGATCAGTTCTTGCCTAACAGAGACAGCAGATAAATTCATGATAGTCAATTATCAGACTCTCCTCCCTTTCTTCTCAGTTAATGGAGAAGTGGAGATGGTCAAATATCAAAAGCAACATTTACATTCCTTCCAGATCAGTCCAACCTCCTCCAGCCATGGCCAAAGGCAGGAGCCCAGTATGGATTTTCAAGGCATGGTGTCCCTCTAAAAGCTTGTCCAGTCCCTCCTGGACCTTACAGATATTTCTGGCACATTTTTAACATCCCAAAGAACAGGTAAGTCCAATATTCTTTTCCTTTCACATCCCATCACCCCTGCCACAGGCAGCCCTACCATGTAGGCGTGCACCATTCGGATTCCACACACTTTCTGCAGGATTCTCAGGTAAATCAGGTGTAAAACTTCAAGCTGCAGAAAGAGAGGACATGAATCAGTATCCCATATGTTTAATTCCTCAGGGCTCCCAGGCCAGGCCATGGAAGCATTCAGCTTTTAACACACGAAGGCTGATTTCACTGAGCCACCACGACAACCAAGTTTCATTTTCCAACATTTTGCAGTTCAAGCATTACTAGCTGATAATTCAGTTTTAAGGGGCAGCAGTCAGCTTGGGCGATTACAGCCCTAACTGCATATGCCAGGCATTGGTTTTCATTACACAGCTGCTTGCTGAGCAGTTTCCAAACCAAGTAACACCAAAAGCCTAAAAAAAGTCACAGAAATTATAATCTTGTAGCAACGAGTGCTCTTTATTAGATTATTAAAATGAAGAGGAAAAAAAAAATCACATATAAGCTAAACAGTTTTTTCATTTATAGCACTAAGCCAAGATCAATTCTGCTTCTTAAAAATCATCTAAACAAGCAGGGCCAGACCCCTCCTACCGCAGGCTCAAACACAAGCAATAACAGCACCGGCATCACTCGGAGGCATCAATTACACTTTAAAGCCACTTTTCTTCCGCCGAGAACACTCATTAACACTAAATAGTCAGAGCGATGAAAGGGGGTTCAGCAGAGAGGGGTTTAAAACCAGGGCTTGGTCTAAAAGCAATAAATGGATCCGGCAAAATGTTGGAACTAGACACCGTGGCTATTTTTACCCAGCTCCCACAGAACTGGCAAAGACAGGCCGAGTGCTGCTGGTGACACCCCCGCGCTTCGAGGAGAGCCCCGAGACCCCTCCGAGCCCAAGCCAAGCCCGTTCCACCCAGCCCCGCGGTCACTCGGGCCCGGCCGGCGCGTCCGTCCCACACGGGAGCGAGCGGGACACGGAGCCGCCCCGCGCCCCCCCTCACGCACCCTGGGGTTGCCAAACACGTCGCTCTTGACCAGGTTGCGGGCCTCGGCGCCCTCCAGGACGTGCGAGCGGAGGTAGCTGATGATGTCGTCGGGGCTGTAGCGGGGGAAGGTCATGGTCTCCATGGCGGCGGCGGAGGAGACGCGGCGGGAACGCAATGGCAGCAGCAGTGCGCGCCCGCTGCTTGAATAGGCCGCGCCCCGCCCCCTCCCCCATTCTGACCTATCACAGACCGTGTCGTCATCGGGGGGCGGGATCGGCGCGTTCCCGCCCTCTCCTGGCCTATCCGCGGCCGCGCTGTGGTGAGGGGGCGTGGTTCGGCAGGCCCCGCCCCTCCGCGGCAGTTGGCCGTGAGGGGAGGGCCGGGGTGTGGCGGCCGCGTCCCTTCGGTTCCGTCAGGCGCGGCTGTCGCGGCCTCTGGAAGAGTCATAAAATCCCTGGAAGGAGCTTTAAAGCTCACCGAGTTTTCCCCTGGCATGGGCAGGGACACCTTCCACTATCCCAGGTTGCTCCAAGCCCTGTCCAACCTGGCCTTGAGCACTTCCAGGAATGAGGCAGCCTCAGCTTCTCTGGGCTTCCTGTGCCTCGTCACTTTCGCAGGGGAGAATTTCTCTCTAGCATCCACTCTAAACCTGTCCTCTGTCAGTTTAAAGGCATTCCTCCTTGTTCTTTCATTACCTGCCCCTGTAATGAGTCACTCTTCCAAAAACCCTTTAGATGAGTTCTCCCCAGAATCTCCAGGCTGTACTGGAGATTGTACTGAGCTGTACCCAGCTCAGCCTGTCCCCACACCAGAGTTGCTCCAGCCCTCTGAGCATCTTTGTGGTCTTTTCTGGACCCACTCCAACATCTCCACATCTTGTGCCGACATTCCAGAGCTGGACACGCTACTCCAGATGGGATAAAAACCTCCTGGCTCCTGAAAGGAGACAACAGCAGCCCAGCATTGCACGGAACTCTTGCCTAACCAGTACCACCTCTTGCAGCGTGACACCATTTTTAACAAAATTCGGGCTGTTCCCACTCTCCCCACAAAGTTCCGATGCTCCCCTGCCACACACAGCTTCCCACACCTCCACTCAGCTGGAAGAAGGTCGGCAAGGTCACAGCAGCATCCACAGGCAGCTTCTGCAAGCCACTGACATCACGGAGGTGTCACCTGGCACCGAGTGTGAGACAGAGATGCTCCAGCCACTGTTCTGCACTTGCCGCTGTAAAAGCCAGGCTCGATTTCCAGCTGGGAACTCCGCCAAAGGCTCAGGTGAGCCACGGACACGAAGTGCTTCCCGACAGCCTTGCAGCCGGACACCTCCTCGGCATGGCTGGAAGGGCAGTGCAGCTTCCATAGGGCTGCTTGCGGTCCACAAAGCGCTAAGATCTCAAGCCATGTCTCCTTCAGGTAGACCATGGCCCCTGAGCCTCGTGTTCCTTTTGGGGATGGCATCAGAGGGGATCAGCTGCCCGAGCAGGTGTAGCTGTCAGTACCTGGAGGTGAACTGCACCGGACAGCAGTTGCAGGAGTTCCCTGTGGATATCCCTCTAGACAGCAGGCAGCTGATTCTGGCAGCAAACAACGTCTCGTACCTGCCAGCAGTGGAATTGAGCTTCCTGGCTGATTTGGTCTATCTGGACTGCAGAAAAAACCTCCTGGGGGATGACCTGGATTTCACTTTCATTGGCGTGGCCAAGCTTGTCTATCTAGACCTCAGCTTCAACAACCTCACACAGATCACCTTCAGCACCTTCTCCCACCTCCTCAGCCTGGTGGTGCTGAAGATCTCGGACAATCCCAACCTTGTGGCCATCGAGAAGGATGCTTTTGCCAACAACACCTGGCTAAGGCACCTGGATGTGAGCCGGACGGGCTTAACCTTCCTGGACACCAGCACCATCCGGGACTTGCCCAGCCTGAGGCTTCTGGGGCTTAGTAACAACCTGTGGCACTGCAACTGTTCCTTTTTGGACTTTATCACCTGGATGATGGAGAGCAATGTGCATTTTCCAGGTGAGGGCTGTGTGAGCACAGATCTGCATGGAACAGAGAGAGACAGCCCTCTGTTCTCTTTCCCAGAAGTTCAGTTCATGGGGCTGTGCCACTGCATGCCGACTGTGGGTGCCATTTTCTGCTGTCACACAAACTGGGGATGGGAGCAGCTGGGTTACACACACTCCACACGTGAAGACTCACACTTGTTCACATCCCCAGGGCAGCCAGAGAGGTGTAGTCTGTAGCTGGGATGCTGTTGCTTCCCTAAAACACCTGGATCCAGCCTCAGGTGTCTCTGTGCCTGCACAGCACAGAGGAGCCCAGCACAGCTCCAGGGAGATATGCACTGTGAAAATCATTGCTCTGAATTTCCTGCCTTGTCTCCACCCCAAAATCAGCTGCTGCTCATCATGTTGAGAGATTCTCTAACTGGGCCTTGGAGAGGCTGAGGCAGGGTAATCACCAGTTCCCTTTCCCATAAAAACGCTGCTCCCAGGGGTGGTGTTTTGCTTTGCAGCTGCAGCACATGGACTTAATTTTTCCAGACTGAAAAGTGACACAGCACAGCACACATGAACAAGGAAAGCTTTGGTTTCTGTAATGTAGGGCACAATGGTGAGAGAGCTGCAAGAGAAAAATTGTTTGAGAAAGTCTATCTGCTGAATAAGAAAGGGCCACAAAAGAGCCCAAGGGGAAAAAAGAGAAGGGCAATTGGAAGCTGGTGTTAGGACAGAACTGAATTAAAGACATCTCAGTGTCTTTATTAGATGTAGTAAGCTCCTTATAGACAATAAAGGGTTTTTTTTCCACATACAGGCTGTTATGGAAGAGTGGAATAAAGTACAGCTCTCAGCAGAGAGATTGGAGATAACCCGCTGAACCCTGCAACAGGAGAATAAAGCTCATTACAGGCTGCTGGGGAGGGGAGGAGTAGGAAAGGCAGCCTTAAACTGAGGCCAGAGGGATACTGGAACAAAGCCCTGGAATTTGCTGCAAGCAGACCCCAGCCTGGCCTTTCGAAAGGCTCCTGACCTTCAGAAATACCTGTGCACCAGAGTTCTGAGCTCGGCCCAGGGGCTGACACAAAGCTGCCCAAGTCTGGATGGATTTGGGTAAGAGAGAGATAAAAGCTCTCCAGTTTTACTGAGGACCAGGAATGAGATCAGCATGAACATCACTGCATATACAATGCAGTGTAATACAATAAAAACCCCCCATGCCTTGTTCCCCTCCACCACTTCCATTCCATCCCATGCATCCAGCAGTGCCCAGCCTGTGGCTCTCTTCCCTCAGGCTCTTCCATCCTTGTCCATCAAGCAGTGGCCACCAGCCCATGCCCACCACAGCGACCGTGTCTGCGGGGTTCAAAACCTGCAGAGGAAGGAGAAGGCTGAGGGCACACCCTGCACCATATTAATCCTTCACTAACTTGAAAGAGAGCAGGCAGCATCTGTTTTATCACTGCAGATATTGCAATATGACAGGGTATGGTTGTTATTTCAGTGGAACTGAATCATTGATGAGCTGCCTCTGCCTCCCTCACAGAGCAGGTAAGGCTGTGCCTGACTGCAAACCACGCTTGTTGTCAAATGCACAGCAGCCTCATTACTCCAGCATCATTTAGGCTGTATCACTTCAGAAGGTGTTTGAGATTTTAAAAAAAACCAACAAACACAGGTGCACTTATATGAAGATGAAAGTGCTCAATCAGCAGAGATGAGCAGGGCAGGGACAGTTTGCCACAGTGGCATAATCCAGTGGGCAATATTATCCTATGGAGCCAACACTGCAAAAAATATTTTGGCAACCTGAGAATTGTGGTTTGGCAAGGGTTTAGCACAGGTTTGGCATGAGTTTGGCTGACAGATTTTACCCAAGACATTGTTGGGGTAAGTGGAGAGGGGAGAAGTGAAGTCTGCAGCTATTTTTCAGACTTTTTGCAAGCACCCTTATAATTTTTCTACCAGGACTCCTATTCATTAAATTATGATACAGACTAGAGAGTTCTGCTTCTGCTTATCTCTCTGCAGATGCTGACAACATCACCTGCTACACCCCAGCAGGCCTGCATGCCCTGAGGATGCCAGCAGCAGAGGCACAGCTCCACTTCAGCTGCCTGACCCAGCTGTACAAGCAGGATTATGTCTTTCTGTGCCTCGTTGGCTTCTGCATATTCCTTGCTGGCACCATGGCAGCCTGGCTGGCCGGCATCTGTGCTGTCATCTACGAGGCCCATGCCTCAAAGGGAGAGGAAGAGGAGGATGAGGAGGAAGACATAGCCACTTAGGATCAGCCCTTCTGAACTCCCATTGTGGGAGCCAAAGGCAGGCCCTTCCTGCCTGATTTCCCATGTTGTCCCACCCTAGATTGTTTGTTGTTGTTTTTTTTGTGAAATAAAACTGCAAGAGAATGAAGTATCTGTGCTCCAGTTTCACTTGCTGTTCTATACCCACTCTTCTGCCACTGGGACTCAGGATATTGGCAAAATATTCATTTTGGGGAAGAGTGAGAGGTGTGCACAATGCCAAGCATTTCCACTTCCACCCTACCTTGAGACCACAGAACAGCAGAGACATAAGGACTGGCTTGAAAAGGTACTGAAATATGGGAAAGGTCCTGGCACTGTGCTGTAGCCAAGGAGGCCAAAAAATCCAGCAGGATTTACTGGGATTAGCCTACACAACCGGAGCTCCAGGGAGTTACTGGATTGCTAGAGCCTCGGGGAATCCAAGAACTTCCTGCTGTGGAAAGGCAAAGAGATTAAAACCAGGACTTTTAGGAGCCCAGGATCCCACTGGTTCTTCCTTTCTTTCCCATTACACTAGTGACAGCAAAAGAACCCTCTCCCAGAGTGCTCCTGCAGTGCAGCCAGACCTTCTGTGCCTCCACTGCTGTATGAACATTTACAGAACTGGAAAGTCAGCTCTGCTGTTGTGTCACATAACCCTAAAACTGGAATGTTTTATAAAGTAAAAATATTGCTTACACATTCTCTAAATATTCTTGGAAAGGGGTTGCACGTCCATACCAAAGTGTCAGAGTTACATCTACAGAGAGATGTGAGATCCTTGTTACCACCAGCGCTGGGAATTGCCAAGGGAAGGATCTGCTTACATGACCCAGCACGGCAACTCCAGGTGTGAAACACCGGCTGCTTCAGCCGACACTGCAGGGTCTGGAAACCAGGGGAAACCAGGAGATTTCAGCAAGCACGGTGTGAATCACCAAACTTAAAGCCATTAAACTGTAGACTGCGAAGCAACGCTGAGAGCTCTTAGCTAGAACGGGTATGAGGAAGAGGGTGAGGATACGGCTGACTCCGTGCGGGAGACAGGGGCAGAGCCGCTGGGGCACAGCTTAATGGCAAATCCCTCCGCAGATCCACAGCACTGCCTACCGCACTCTTCCCTGGCAGCAGCGAGACCGATGGCGCCTGGCCGAGCCCCGGCCCCGCCTGCGGGCGGTGCTGCGGNCAGGGGGATGCTCCCAGGGCGTGGAAACTCAGGTGGTCCCGATGGAAAATGCAGGAAGCTCCGTGGACATCTCCCAGCCGGGGGAGGCTCCGGGGGAAGGGGGTTACGGGGCGAGCAGGGCAGAGCCCCGGCAGCGAACGGGGGCGCGGGGCCACAAAAGGCTCTGCTGGCTCCAAGGGCTGAGCTTACATCGGGTAATCCAGTCCGAATCCACGCGTGGGGCTGTTCGAGGAGCCTTAATGCGCTTTGCTGACTCACAGCAGCTGCAGTGTGGTGGCAGAGTTGGGAAGGACCCTTTTTGTGCTGCCGCTTTGTGCCGCGTTATGCTCCAAAGTCTCGTGTCTGTGGCTCCAGCCGGCAACATCGCGGGGTAAAAGGTAGAAATTGGGTCTTGCCTGTCAGCAAAGCCCTTGCGGCTGCGGGCAAAGGGTGCACAAACGCTCCGGGAAACGACCCTGGGACTCCTGGTGACTTCGGAGTGCTTTATATGCTCCAAATATTTGCTTTTATATGGCTCCAAATTACGAGAGCAAAGGCTTGAGGTACACTTTGATATCAGTAGTGTAAGAGTAGCAGTTTTATGACACACCCGGTTTAATGCTTTGCCGTGCTCTTTGCTCCCAAGGTAAAGCCCCAGATTATAACTTAGTGCTGGAAGACAAAATGCCTGGTTATCCAACAACCTTGTAATTTGAAGGGGGAAATGTGACCACCAACCTGCTCTACATGTTCTATTTTCAGTGTGTCACCTGTCAGGTGCTAACCTCAATTACAGGTGCATGCAGCTGACTTTTCTTCATTACTTCAGGGTTTTAATATTCTTACTGATAATTGTTTACCGCACTTCCTGTGGACAAAGCCAGCTGTTGTCTTCACCTTGCTCCATCGATGATAGTCCTTTGCAAATGAGAAATAAAACCCTCTAGTCCCCAAAGCTCCCTTGTGAGGGGTGCAGGAGGGAGACTTTGCAGCAGTTCCCTGAGGTGGCCTGGTTCTCCCTGCAGTGACAGATTGTGCTGGTGGGTCAGTACAGGAGACACCAAAACCTCACTGAATCGTGGAGACACCATCTGGAGACAGGCACCAACTGGGGTTTGATTGGGAGAATTATCTCGGTGCTGGAGGGAGATCTCTGCTGCCTTCTGCTGTGCTGTGTCGTGCAGCACCCTCAGGGTCACCCAGACAGGCGTCTGAGGTCTGGGGTTGTGCAAGGTGGCTGTGGGGAAGTGCCCTTGTGCTCTCTGGCAGCCGGGAGGGAGCTGGAGTGCTCTGTTGGTGGAGCAGGGCAGGCTTATGGGGCTGCTGAGCAGGAAAAAATGAAAATGTGGAATGACAGAGGCTGCAGGATGTACCTTCTGCCCCACACTTCTGTCTCAGGCGTGCATGAGGGAGCACAGAACCATTAGACAAAAGCCACACAGGCCCTGGTGTCCCCTGGCCGCTGGTGCAGATGTTTGTAAATGCCAGTAGCTGTGTGTTTTTGGAGCTCTTCACCACTTTGTGATGCTGAGAGGGTACCTGGGAGCTGCAGGGCTGAGTATTGGTCATCTGGCCAATGGCTCTTTACTCAAAAGTTCAATTATCATTGCCCTGGTGGTGGGTTTTATTAGTATTTTATATAAGGGTGACCTTAGCAGTACAAATTAATCATTGATTGAGCCCAGCTCCTTCCAGCTCAGGGGATTTCTGAGCCGGGTTCTTTTATAATTCCCAATTTGCCTCTTAGTCCCAGTACTTTCCGAGTTTCCTGTTGAATTCCTTCATTCACAGTGTCCCTTGGCAAGGAGTTCCACAGGTCTGGTTCCCAGTGCATGAAGAAACATCTCTGTTAGGGAACAGGCTGGAAATAAAGTGACTTCATTTGGTGGCCCCTAGCTCTGGGGCTGGAAAGGCCCATGAGTTTCTGCCCAGGCTGGGCTAAGGCTCTCCAGACACTACTTCCCACCAATTCTTAGGTGATTTGAAGGCTTGCTTGACAGGAACTATGCAGAGAACTCCTGGTTTGTGCAGGCTCCAAAAGGTACAAATTCCTTCAGCCAGTCCCTGTGCTGGTAGCTCTTGGGGTCCAAGCTCAGCGACTCTTCCATGCACACATATTGTGTGTTGCCAATCCCCCAAAATATTCACGGGCTCCCTTTCTCTGGCAGCACCACCATGGCTGTTCTCTCTTCCCCAAAATATTCACGGGCTCCCTTTCTCTGGCAGCACCACCATGGCTGTTCTCTCCAAGGAATATGGCTATGTCATGCTGACTGGGGCCGCCAGCTTTGTCCTGGTCATGCACCTCGCCATAAACGTGGGCAAGGCCCGCAAGAAGTACCGTGTGGAGGTGAGTGCTCAGGCTGAGGGGGTGGTAAGGTTGGAGCCAGCCTGCTGACAAGCTAGGTGACACCTTGAGCAGTTTGGGGTGACTTGCTGACTATTTCCTGCCCCACCACACTGATGCAGAAGGGATGGAGCTGCCATGGCTCTCCAGAAAGCGTAACAGAGCTTGGGATTTGGGACATCAGGTGCTTGGCACCAAGATGAAAGCATGTGGCTTTGAGCTTGGCAGCACAGATGGCCAAGAAACTGCTCGGCCCATTTTCCCTGCAAATAAGATTTGATGCAGCACTGGGAAGAAAGGGCCCATAGTGGCACAAAAGGGACAGGAGGGTTTCTCAAACTCAAGGGGACAAGTCTTTCAAGTGACCTTCCCCCACTGGGGGAGCCTTTAAGCCAGGCAGAGCTGTGGGCTGGGTGGGGACACCTGTGAGTCAGGGCCATGGCATGCAGTGGCTGCTGTGCCACTTGGCTTCAGCACAAGCCACTGCTCCTTCCCTCTTTCACTGCTTCACTCACGGAACTGACGAACAGGGGTGGGCACGAGGACAGCTCCAGCTGCCTGCTGGGGTGATCCCGTTCCTGCTGCATCAAGTCAGGATTGCAGCAAATGTACCCAGTGTGTGTGTGGTGCACAGAGGGCTGGATTTGAGGCCTGGGGAAGCCTCTGCATCCAGGCAGCAGCTCCAGGAAGGCAGTGACCTTGAACACAGCTTTTGTGCGCCCCAGGGCAGGCACAGGCTCTAACCTGCCACTGCAGGTTGGTCTTGCCAGCACCCAGGCAGCCCTGGGCTCCTGGGGAGAGGAGCTGCAGGGCACATTTGCTGATGTTTTGCTGCTGGTTTATTTTTTGGCAGTACCCAGCCATGTACAGCACAGACCCTGAACACGGGCAGATATTCAACTGCATCCAGCGTGCGCACCAGAACACGTGAGTGACGCCTTTGAACGGAGGCCTTGGAACAAACAGGGCTGAGGAGCAGGGCCCACAGCCCCAGTGGTGCTGCTTTCACCCAGGCTCAGCCCTGCAGTGCTTAGCAGGAAGGCTATGCTGGCTCCTTCCATGGGTAGATCTTAAGATGTGAGGAATCTCATTTCCTGTAAGTGCTGATCTGTTGTGCTACCCAGGTCTCCCTGGGGAGTGGCCAAAGTCCACCCAGCTCCTGTGGACAGGTTGCAACAGCAAATCAGAGGGGTGCTGGGAAGCACAATTCCTGGGGAATGTTTAGAGTGGCTTAGGGAACAAAAAGGAAAGAGTGGGTGGGTGTTCTGGGAGAGAGGCATGGGCTGGGAAGAAGCCCCTAAAACCGTGTGTGCTCAGATCCCTTCTTTCCTCAGCCACAGCACTGAGCAGAGAGACTCATGATGAGCCCAAAATGCCCTTGGCAGGGGATGTTTGCAGTTTCTGTCCTTCTGGAGTTTCTTCTTTGTAAACAACCCGAGCACAAACGCAACCTCCTCACTTTTATTTTCAGATTGGAAGTCTACCCTGCCTTCCTGTTCTTTTTAGGCACTGGTGGACTCTACCACCCGGTAAGTGATGCAGAACTCTGCTCTGGCTCCCTGACCTGGGCAGGGTGGGGGGCAGGAGGCCAAGACAGCCCCTTCAGTAGCCACATCACACTTAACAGCAGTGCCCCTTCTTCAAATTTAATTGTAGAAAGTTTTCTGCAGGAGATGCACCAGAAATAAACTCCTTACTGCTGTTTCAGCTATTAGAGCCCTTTCCTTCCCCTAAAGGTGCTTAGTTAGACAAAGCAAAGCATTTTCAGCCTCCAGCCACTGAGTGGGAAGGATCCCCCCAGCCCAGTTTTTCCAAGCCCTGCCAAAGGAAGTCAACAGAAGCCTGGATTATTTTTAACTGAAAGATGCAGACAACTTGGGAGGAGGCAGGCACATGGGAGAGGCCAAATCCAGGAGCTCTGTCTTTGCCCTCAAAAGACAAAATAGATCTTTCCAGAAGACAGACTCCTTTTCCAATAGGAAAGGAAGCAGCATAGGCACATCTGGCAAATGGGAGCCACACTGGAGAGAGCTCTAAATTAAGAGTCAAGGTGGGAGTTTGGAACACCTGCTGGAGGCAGCGGAGCAGGGCTTGGAGCAGCAGCTGCCTCCACAGTCCCAGTCCTTGCTCTGGCTCGCTGACTGGCCGGGGGTGAAATGAGATTGAGCTCCTGGGTTGGTTGCCTGCAGGACTTTAGTCAAGCCTCCAAAGCCTTTAACACTTCTCCTTTCTCTGCAGCGAGTTGCCACAGGGCTTGGCGTCGCCTGGATCGTTGGGAGACTCCTCTATGCCTACGGCTACTACACAGGAGGTAGGAAAGTGCCTGCAGCACACACAGGGTGCCTGGAGACTCAGGTCTCCTGCAGTGCCCCAGGGCTCTGCTCCCAGCCAGGTGTGGAGGAAAGGGTGCAGGTCTCCAGGCTGCCAAAGCTGCAGCACGCTCTTCCTGCTGTTGGGAAGAGCTCTCATCCAGCAGGGATGCGCCTACCCTAAGAGGCCTGAGCTGGTGCCTGCTGTTTTGCCCTGGGGATTTGCCCTTTAGTTCCTGCTCCCTCTTCCATCTCCAGGCTGGGCTGCTCTTTCAGTGAAGTGACAAATCCTGCTTTTTTTTTCCAGATCCCAAAAATCGAAGGAGAGGGGCCCTTGGCTCCGTGGCACTCCTTGGGCTGGTGGGCACAGGCATCTATTCAGCCTGCCAGCACCTGGGCTGGGTCTACCAGCAGGGGTGCAGAAGATAAAGGGAGTTTTCTTCTGTTTTCTTTTAGAACACTTGGCTTCCTATGTTTTTTCCCTTTTCTTACTCAATAAAAGGAAGTTGTCCATTCTCTATTTTCATTCTAAAGTTACAGAGGGTTTTCTTAAGAAGCTCTGCAGAATGCTGGAATTACTCTGGTTTTGCAGGACTACAAAAATCTGTCTGTCAGGCAGAGATGTTCCTTCCAGTTTTGATGATTTCAGTGATCAAAAAGCCACCTTGCAGCTCATTTAACCCATACAGCAGCAGCCCCATTTCTGGACCCCTCACAATTCATGTCACTCTGACAAGATGTTCCAGAGTAAGTATTTATTTGATTGCTAAAAAATAGATGTAGGCAAACAACTGAAAGTGTTGCTTCATCATGTGTATAAAGAACAGTAAGTTTACAGGAAGGAAGTGAGATAGCTTTCACTATTCTGTGCTGGAGCTCCCCACCACTCTTGTGTGGAGATGATTCTTGGCCATGACTGGCCCAGGCAGCATCAGCCAACCATCACAATGTTTTGTCCCACTTGTAAGTAAGGTACAGATAGAAAAAAAAAAAACAACAAAACTTGAGATTACCAAGGGTTTAGAGGGAATAAACAATGCTACACTTAAGGCTTTTATGTGGTCACAGAATAGACAGGGTCAGGACAGTTACAGGATATCATGGTGTCAAGAGCTTATACGTGCACTGAGTAGGGTCCTACCTGTTAGGAAGCCAGAAGTGAAATTGATGGAGGGTGGAAGGCAACGGGAATCAAGGCACACAGCCTGGGAAGCCTGTGCCTGGCCTTGGCCACTGACAAACCTCTGGTAACACCTCTGTGGCTGCAGGAGCTGCTGCCAAAAACCAGATTGGTGCCTCCTGTTCTGAGCTTCCCATTGTCCACCAGCCAGGCCAGAGCTGAGCCCTGTGTGTACAACCCTCCTTGCAGGAACAGGGTGGCTAAATGCTGCTCCAGCTCTGCTTCCCCCTGGGCACTGACAACTGTAGGATACTTTATTGCTGTGTACATGATCCACATCTCTGGCTGACAGGGAAAAGCTGCCTGATGCTCCCCTGAGCAGGCCCCAGAGCCACTAAAACACAGACTCCACATCACCCATCTCCACGCAGACAGTCTTCAGCTGCGAGTAGTACTCGATGGCTGCCCGGCCGTTCTCCCTGCCAAATCCTGCAGGGAAGAGCTGGAGTGAGGACACAGCTCCAGGCAGTGCCAGGGGCCACTCGCAGCCCCTGGAGCTGGCAGGTACCAGGGGAGGTCACACAGAGCTCACCTGAGGACTTGTATCCTCCAAAAGGCAGCTCCACAGGGCTGACGTTGTAGTTGTTGATGAAGCACATCCCAGCCTTGAGAGCAGCCACCACCCTGTGAGCCTTCTGGATATCCCTGCAGGAAAAGAGCAATTCAGCTGAATCCCCTCCTTCCCTGCCAGGCAACATCCACTGGAGAAAGGCCAGCAGGCCACACTGCTTTTTGGAGTCCAACCTGTCCTACTCTGTCTCTGCCTGCTTGAAGGAGGCAGCTCCAATTCCCAAGGACACTCCAAGTGCACTCAAGAGGGCAGGACAAGGACACCAGCAATGCAGAATGGGGCAAGTAGCCAAGAGCAGCACAGCAGGCTCCTGATGCATTCTGGAGGTGCAGGAATGCAGGCAGCAGGCCAAGCCAGGCTGGGAGGAACCCAAGGGACAGCTGGGCCCACCCAACACTTCAGGAAAAACTGGGATATGTGCAGTCATTTACAAATTTCCCTTTTGGCAATCCCTTGCTTCAGCTCTTCTAGAAGAGGATACCCATGCCCAGGCAATGCAAGAGGAGCAGCAAATCACTGCAGTATTTCCCCTCCCCAGAATGATTCCACAACACTGCCCAGTCCTACCTGGTGAAGACACCACCTGCCAGGCCAAATTTGGTGGCATTGGCTCTCTCCACAACCTCCTCCTCTGTGTCAAAGGGCAGGATGGCCATGACAGGCCCAAAGATCTCTTCCTTCACACACGTCATGTCATCCTTGCAGTTGCCTGGAAGCGTGGCAGAGCACAAGTGCTTCAGGAGGAAGAGCAGCAGCACAGCCTGTGCATTCAGCAACCCACACAGCCTTGGAGACAGCATGGCAGAGCAGCCAGGCACACCCTGCATCTCAAAAGCACCGACAGCACCATTCCCATCAGGCCCTCCAACAGCACAGATTTCCCTGGATGCAGTTCTTGGAAGCCTCAGCTCTCTCTAGGACACCCATTCAAGTGCCAGTCCAGGCTGGGGACATCACAGAGCCAGGTCACAAAGCTGAATTCAGCTTTCTCAGGAGAAATCCCATGACTGAGATGGATCCTACCTAACACACAGGGGCGCATGTAGTAGCCATTCTTCAGCTTCTGGTCATCTGGCACATACAGGTCCCCACCACACAGCACCTCTGCCCCCTAGAAAAGAGCCAAGAGAGGAAGGGATGCAGGCACATCCAGGAGCATCCTGCCCAGCTCTGGCTGGCCCTTGGCTTATCCCAGCAGGCTCCGCTAAAAAGTTTGTCCCCATCTTTTTTATAAGCCCTGTTATGCACTGAAATCCTGATAGCAGGTGTCCTCAGAGCCTTCTCCTCCTCCAGGCTAAACCACCCCAATTCTCAGCCTTTCCTCACGTGTTTTTCCTGTGCTGAGAAGTGGGGTCTCATCAGAGCAGGTCAGAGGGGCAGAACTTCCCCTCACCTGCTGCCCACGCTGTTTTGGATGCAGCCCAGGACACGGGTGCCAGCACACATGGCTGGGGCATGTCCAGCCTCTCATCCAGCAGCACTCCAAAGTCCTTCCTCGCAGGGCTGCTCCATCTGCTCATCCCCCAGCATGGATTTATACCAGAGCTCGCTCTGATCCAGGTGCAGCACCTCGTACTTGAGCTCAAATCACCTCCCTGTCCCCCACGTGCCTTAACACAACTCCTAGGAGGATCTGTTCCATGATCTCTCCACAGTCACAGTAGTGAGGCTGATGGGTCTGTAATTCCCAGGTTCCTCCTGCCCACCCTTTTTGAAAAAGGGTGTTTTTCCTTTTCTAGTCACTTGGGACTTCACCTGACTGCCATGACTTTTCAAATATCAGGGAGAATGGCTCAGCAACTCCATTAGCCAATTCTCTGAGAACCTGGGATGCATCCCACAGACTTCTGTATCTAGTGGTCCAACACACCCACTGAGTAAACCAAAAACAACCAAAAAAAACCCAGCTTAACTGGGAAGGCACAGGGCAGGAGAGCAGCTGGCAGTGTGTTTGCCTAACAGGAGAGACATTTCTGGGCAGTCACAAAGCAGCATCACAATCTCACCTGCTCCTTCGCCTGCTTGATAAAGCCCTGCACACGATTCAGGTGGGGCCGGTTGATGAGGGCTCCCATCCGTGTGTCTTCCAGAAGAGGGTCTCCAATTTTGATTTTCTGGGTGCGTTTCACCACCTCCTTTGTGAAGGTATCCAGGATCTTCCTCTCCACAAACACCCGGGTGCCATTGCAGCACACCTGGGACACAGGAAAAGCAGCTCAGAATAGGAAACACAGCAATCCAAATTCCTTCCCTGCTTGGGTCCTGCTCCAGAGGCTCTTGGAAAAGCTCCTCCATAGCTGCTACAACAGCTAACTTGTCCCTGGGGACAGGGAACACAAGATTACCCTGGGGCTGTGACTGCACTGAACAGCCCTTGCTGGACACAGTGGTTCTGATGCCACCAGGTGGCAAAAAAGGTTCAGGTCATGAGCAGCAGAGACCTTGAGCCGACTTCTGAGTTCCCAGGAATGACCCCACTGAGCAAATTTGCCAGGATTACAAAAAGCCTGCAGCACAGGTGGATATCCCGAATCTGGGAAGGACAGAACCCTGTCCTCAGGATCAGCACACCAGGCTGGGACCTGCTGCCCCTCCAAGGGACACCAGCACAGCTTCTCCTGACCTATGAGTGCCAGACTGGTGCCCAGGGCACAGAAGCAGCTGTGCTGAGCTGGGTGCTTGGTGCCAGGGAAGCTCCATGTCTGGGAAGGACAGGCCACTGGCTAAGTGTGTCCTGTAGCTAAGGCACACTCTGCTAGGACAGCCCCAGCTCCTGCAAGGGCATCCCTTCTGACACTGCACAGGGAAAGGTGTGACAAGATGAGAGCTTCAGGGCATCCCTCACTCACAGATGATCACAGGCTGGCCCCACTGCCCAGCCCTGACCCCACAGTGCCTCCCTGGGAAGGAGAACTCCTGCCCCACAGACACACACCTCGCCCTGAGTAAGGAAGTTGGCCATGAGGGCTCCCTTCACAGCATTCTCCAGATCAGCGTCTGAGAAGATGATAAGGGGGGATTTGCCCCCCAGCTCCAGGGTGACTGGCTTTATCCCTTTAGCTGCCATCTCCATGATCTGAGGAGAACAAGAACACAAGAGATAAGTGACCCACTGGCCAACAAGAGTCACCCCACAGGGTGGCAAGAGAGACCCAAAGGGAGAGTTCCTGCAGGACCATTCACCAACAAGAGAGAAGCAGCACAGAGGGCAAGCTGGGTTTCCTAGATGTGGTTAGCTCGTTCTGAGGACAGCCTCAGAGGGTTTGGGGGTTGTTTTTTTACAGGTAAAACCGACAAAACCTGGAGAGGCATTTGCAGGAAGTCTCGTGCTCAGTGTAAGCTGCAGGCAGCTGTAGCTGCCATCTGTCACTGCAACCCACAGGTACACACACGTAGGGAGCGTTCACAGGACATTTCCCCTCCTTCGACTCAGAATTTATTTCCAAAAGTCTTTCTTTAATTTTAGAATAATAAATGGAGGGTGAGAAACTCACAGAAACTATCCCCTTGCTTAAAAACATGTTAGGTAGGTTAAAACATAGTAGGTTGCATGCAGCTTTAGTGCTTTATAACAGCCAGGAACACATTCTTCTAGTGCTGCTGTTTCATGTACTCTCCACCTGACATCAACACCCACCTGAGCAGCTCAGAAGACTTCACTGCAACCAGGGGCTAAAGCAAGTGAAGCTGACCAAGGGGTTTCTCTCTCAATGCCGTGCCCAGCAGGTTAACTGGACCCCAGCATGACCCTGCACGTGCTGAAAGCTCCTCTCTC